ACTGTTCAAGCATTTGTTGTAAAGATAGCTTGCTTTAGCTGTTTTGAAGTCTTTTAAAATACACATATGTTCTTAATAAGGCATTTGTGCATAAATCTAATATTCTGTCCACTAATAGCATGGGCACAGCTGCTGACTGAATATCCTGGATATTTTTTGCTTCATCAGAAATTTATCAGTTAGAAGTTACTTCCATTTTTCCTTCAGTTCAATGACCAACACTTTCTCTTTCAATTTTCCCCATATACTGGAAAGGTGGCTAATACAAAAACTGGTCCAAAATCACACAATGAGCTTCCAATGCTTAGGTTGGGCTCGAACCTGATTTTTCTTGGCCTAGTCCAGTATTCTAGCCATTTTACCATATTGACTCATTCTCCTCTGCCTCAATGGATCAAAATTCAATTAGACTGGTACAGTTAACTCTGTGTTTCCTGACACTAGTTCTAATTCACCAAGTGCTTCCTGAAGTTAGAATTGTTGTTGTTGTTAGCTGCGGTCGTGTCCGACCCATCACAACCCCATGGACAACTTTCCTTCAGGCCTTCCTGTCCTCTACCATCCCCTGGAGACCATTTAAGCTCACGCTGACTGCTTCAATGACTCCATCCAGCCACCTCATTCTCTACCATCCCCTTCTTCTTTTGCCCTCAATCGTTCGAAGTTAGACTAGCGTCTTCCTTATTCATATTTTGAAAATTAGTAAAAAGTCTGGAAAATGGAATCATGGCAACTGAACTTATTTTTTGTTGGTTTGAGACATTTTCACTACTCATCCAAGCAGCTTCCTCAGTCTGAACAAGTTGGTTCAACAGAGAGTTGTGAGTGAAGAAACTGCTTGGACAAGCAGCAAAACATCTCAAACCAACAAAAAATGAGTCCATGATTCAATTTTCGAGACAATTTTACATGGATGACTCAGAATATTCATCAACGTATAGTTAAAAAAAAACCTAGTGTTTCTCCAAAGAACATTCAAAGAAGGACAAGAAGACTGGTAATAAATATGAATCTACCATAGGTGCAATTATATTTGTTTTGATAAAATTATTTTCATTTGGGAATTGATTTTTTTGTAACCTACTTTCATGAAATAGCACACAAATATGGTAAATAAGGAAATTAAAATTATAGGAATATCTTTGTTACTGATGCATTTTCTCCACAGCTCAGGGTCATCAAAAAGTATGGTCTCACAGTCAAACATACTTTGTTCTGATTATGTTATGCTAACTTGATAGCCATCAAGACAAGAAAAGAGAGAAGAAGAAAAAAAAGAAAAAAAATAGTCAAATTCATGTTTTGGGTAAAGCAAGGATCACAGGACTTAAGCAAATCAAATATCTCTTGCTATATATTCAGAAGCAAAATAGCAGAATGAGTAAGGATAAATTAACAAAAAATGTTCTCCACTGAAGGAGAAAACAGAATCGCTTCAAGAACATTCATCACCTAATGGATGATATCTCTTTTTGGAACAAGTAGGTAGGACCCAAATTCTCAATTTAACTTCCCAGAGGACAGATGTCAAAGACATCATCTAAAAAAAAATCAGAATATTATATTTAATCAGAAAACAAAGAGAAAAAATGAGTAAAGAAAAAGACAATCCTCATATTTTTGGGAGGATCTGTCAATCTCCTGATGAGGGCCATAGGCCTCATCCTGCTGTTGTTTAGTTTAGTTTTCTTTTATGAACTTGAAATAAAATCTCCATGATATTCAGGAAACAGATACTTGCAGTGCATGTTTTTTCCTGAATTTATGTTTATGTTTTGTCCTGAGCCTCGTAGAGAGCATTTGTAGTTTAAAATTAACAGAAAAGTACAGCTGAAGGCAAAGTTTCCAGGAAGCAAATATTTCAATACTGTCACTCTCAACACAACGCTATAGCAAAAGCAACCAAAGGCGGGGGGAGGGGGGAATAAGATTATGAGTATCAGGAAACAGGGATATGGTAATCTCATGTACTCCTTTATATCTGCCAGCCAAAGTGATTATTGTCACTATTGCCCAGTAGAGATGGACAACAGAGAACCAGTCTCCTAGAACTCAAGTCACACAAGCAATCCAAGGTTACCCTGTTGAAATCCAGTAGCAAAAGCAGAATTTGGCAGGGATCCAGTATTTGATAAGATACCTTCAAACCAAGAAACACTGCTAGCTAATCCAAGAGAGAATAATTACTCCACTAATAAAGTAGACATAAGCTTTAAACTCTAGAAGATCCTCAAACTTGATTTTTAGTTTTGAAGGGAAAAAGAGTGGAATGGGGAACAAATGTTAACTGGGATTAATGTCCCAGTTTCATTGGCCAACTAATTCAGTTAGTCACCAATAAGTAGCCCAGATATTAATCCAATGTAAAAAATATGTACTGGTGAACTGTCAAGGGGACTAAAGAAAATGTAATTTCTTCAAGATTTTCTAAATAAGCTTACCACATTAGAGATACATTTTTAGGTACCGTATTTTCCGGCGTATAAAATGACTTTTTAACACATGAAAATCTTCTCAAAAGTCGGGGGTCGTCTTATACGCCTGGTGTCGTTCTCCTGTAACCAGGCAGACCAGCCCGAAAGGCTCTGATGAGCCAAGCTCTGACCATCCCAGCTGAGTTGCCTGCTAATCAGGCAACTCAGCTTGGATCGCCAAAGCCATGTAAAAGGAAAAAAGTTTTCCCCCTCCAGCTTGCTTACCTTAGCTGCTAGTCGCAACGCTTGCCTTGCTTTGCTTGCCTGAATCCATTCCATCAGCAAGCAACTCCCTGCCTGCAATCAAGCAGGCAGGAAGTTGTGGACTTCAACTCCCAAAATTCCTCAGCCAGCAAAGCAAAGCTGGCTGAGGAATTCTGGGAGTTGAAGTCCACAAGTCTTATAGTTGCCAAGGTTGAAGACCCCTGTTCTATTGGGTAAGTTTTTTCCCCCTTTGGGAGCTTTAAAAAAATAGTTAATTGGGGTTTTTTTAGTTGTTTTTTTTTTAGACCTAGCCATTTAAAGTTTAGGAAGTTTTAAATTTAGCTGCTTTTATATAAAAAATAAAATAAAATAAAATAAAATAATATTCGTGCAGCTTTCTGAGATTTAGTGTGTTTCTGTAGTGTTTCACTCTAACTACACAAACACACAAAATCTCACAAAGCTGTATGTGGAATTTTGTGTGTGTAAAGTGTGAAAGTTGGGTTTTGGGGCTTTTTGTGGCTGTGAGGTTTCTGCTTGTTGCAGGGGCCATTTTGGGTCTAGCACAGCTGCTTTTACATTGTGGTTGAGCCAGTTGTGTTGTGTTGTGTGTGTGTAAAGTGTGAAAGTTGTTTTTTGGGGGTTTTTGTGGCTATGAGAGGTTCCTGCTTGTTGCAGGGGCCATTTTGGGTCTAGCACAGCTGCTTTTACATTGTGGGTGAGCCAGTTGATGTTTTTTAATTTTTATTTGGTGTGCGTTGGAAGAGGGGTAGTCTTATACGGCGAGTATAGCCCAAACCCTATATTTTAACAGGAAAAGTCGGGGGTCGTCTTATACGTCCAGTCATCTTATACGCCGGAAAATACAGTAACTCTTGAGAAGTAGCAATAGCGAACCAAAAATTAATACCTGAAAGACTCTGATTGTTTTAAGTGTCTTCTTATGCATTCATCATGTAAATCAGGGGTGTCAAACAGGTGGCTCGTGGGCTAGATGCATCATGTACAAGCCATGCCCACTCCAGCTCCGCGAAGGGAAAAAAACACTGTGAAACGTCACGTGACGGCAACGTGATGCCGGTGCGAGTTTGACACCTGTGATGTAGATGAGCCATCCCAACAACTTTAACTGTAATTGCTCATGATAGCAATATTATAATAGAAGCATCTACAGTACAGAGGGTTTCTTGAAGAGATGTAAAATGCCAGACGCAAATTTATATTTGATAAGGAGGGATTTGAAGTTAGAACTCTGCAGACATATAAGACTAATTATTCATACAGTAGGCTAATTCAATAAAGCTTGTTTGCTAACTTATATTAGAAATTAATTGTCTCTAGTTTTGTTCTCATCATTATGGCTCCTTTAAGGTAAAAGAAGGAAAAGCGCACTGGGTGGTCTAAATGATTCTGGCAAGACAACTAATATAGCAATCTGCCAAAAGCAGCATTTCTGCTAGATTAGCCTCCTCCTCCTAATTGCCAAATTCTTACATGCTTCTGGCAGCAACACAGAGAACATCTCTGGAGGAAAAGAAAAGGTGTCATTTGTTGCTGTAGTTAAAGCACTCATCCTCCTAGAAAACATGATCTCATTAATTCTGGGTTCACTTGTAGAAGCTCTTACCTGCAATGTTGAATATTTAAACAGAACATGTTTAACGTAACCCATTTAAGTCCCGCTCCATTGTTCTAAGAATCTGAAAGTACTAGGTAGTAATGCTGTTGTGACCTCATGGACCACAACTAAGTTTTCTCACAGAGCTAGTAGATAAATATTTTTTATCAAATATATTGGACTTGAAGTGAAAGTACCACCTATTCAACTCTTACATTATATGGATAAAAAGGAATTGGAAAGGTTCAAACACTAGGAAAATCAACCATAATAATTATGGGAACAATAATCAAAAACATTTGGAGAGCACCTTGTTGAATAAAATTGTCTTACTATAGTACTTTATGCCTGAAGCAATGTCATAGTTTGTAACATTCCAAACTGTTACAAATCAATGGAGTGTGTCACTTCAATTTTGATCATTAAATCAAAAATCAAAAACATGTGGCCCACTAGCTATTTATGGGAACCTCAGCAACCTTCATTTTTGGTGACATTATAGTCTTTATAATCCTATTTTAATAACTAAAGGTCTATGTAGAAATAGCTACAGAATGTATCAAATAATTCTCCATGAAACACACATAAAGCAATCGAAAACTATCAGCCATAATTATACAATACGAAAAAGGGAGGAACAAGATAGTTGAGAATATACATCTTTATATTATATATTTAATAAACAATTCCTGGAAAAGACTTACCGAGTCCAGAAAGCAGAGATACTCCCCCGAGCTCTGATCAATAGCACAATTTTTAGCAAAGCCAACTGTTGATAAAATAAAGTCAAAACAGTATATGAAAATAAATGCAATTTATATTTTATACTTGAAATTATGTAACATTAAACTTAAAAATCCTAAATACCTATATAAATTAGCATTCTTTCCAAAATAGATCTGAAGTATATTCTCATTAAGCAGCTATAGTTTGGATTGAGCACCTACAGTGGGGCAAAAAAGTATTTAGTCAGCCACCAATTGTGCAAGTTCTTCCGCTTAAAAAGATGAGAGAGGCCTGTAATTGTCATCATAGGTAGACCTCAACTATGAGAGACAAAATGAGAAAACAAATCCAGACAATCACATTGTCTGATTTGGAAAGAATTTATTTGCAAATTATGGTGGAAAATAAGTATTTGGTCACCTACAAACAAGCAAAATTTCTGGCTCTCACAGACCTGTAACTTCTTCTTTAAGAGGCTCTTCTGTCCTCCACTCTGTCCTCTGTATTAATGGCACCTGTTTGAACTTGTTATCAGTATAACACAACCTCAAACAGTCACACTCCAAACTCCACTATAGTGAAGACCAAAGAGCTGTCGAAGGACACCAGAAACAAAATTGTAGACCTGCACCAGGCTGGGAAGACTGAATCTGCAATAGGCAAGCAGCTTGGTGTGAAGAAATCAACTGTGGGAGCAATAATTAGAAAATGGAAGGCATACAAGACCACTGATAATCTCCCTCAATCTGGGGCTCCATGCAAGATCTCACCCCGTGGGATCAAAATAATCACAAGAACGGTGAGCAAAAATCCCAGAACCACACAGGGGGAACTAGTGAATGACCTGCAGAGAGCTGGGACCAACGTAACAAAGGCTACCATCAGTAACACACTACGCCGCCAGGGACTCAGATCCTGCAGTGCCAGACGTGTCCCCCTGCTTAAGCCAGTACATGTCCGGGCCTGTCTGAAGTTTGCTAGAGAGCATTTGGATTATCCAGAAGAGGATTGGGAGAATGTCATATGGTCAGATGAAACCAAAGTAGAACTGTTTGGTAGAAACAGAACTTGTCATGTTTGGAGGAGAGAGAATGCTGAGTTGCATCCAAAGAACTCCATACCTACTGTGAAGCATGGGGGTGGCAACATCATGCTTTGGGGCTGTTTCTCTGCAAAGGGACCAGGATGACTGATCCGTGTACAGGAAAGAATGAATGGGGCCATGTATCGTGAGATTTTGAGTGCAAACCTCCTTCCATCAACAAGGGCATTGAAGATGAAACGTGGCTGGGTCTTTCAGCATGACAATGATTCCAAACACACCGCCCGGGCAATAAAGGAGTGGCTTCGTAAGAAGCATTTCAAGGTCCTGGAGTGGTCTAGCCAGTCTCCAGATCTCAACCCCATAGAAAACCTTTGGAGGGAGTTGAAAGTCCGTGTTGCCCAGCAACAGCCCCAAAATATCACTGCTCTAGAGGAGATCTGCATGGAGGAATGGGCCAACATACCAGCAACAGTGTGTGCCAACCTTGTGAAGACTTACAGAAAACGTTTGACCTCTGTCATTGCCAACAAAGGATATATAACAAAGTATTGAGATGAACTTTTGATATTGACCAAATACTTATTTTCTACCATAATTTGCAAATAAATTCTTTCTAAATCATACAATGTGATTGTCTGGATTTGTTTTCTCATTTTGTCCCTCATAGTTGAGGTCTACCTAGGATGTCAATTACAGGCCTCTCTCATCTTTTTTAGTGGGAGAACTTGCACAATTGGTGGCTGACTAAATACTTTTTTGCCCCACTGTAAATATATCTGATTTGCATCCATATGAAATGACAAAGTTTTCCTTCTCTTTCTATATTTTGAAAGAAGCATTATAGTAAAGCTCCATTTGTAGTAAAGGTCCAAACCTCAGACACAAGAGGAAAAAACTTACGGTATTTAACATTTCATTTCCAAACAATGGGCAAAGCCAAGTATTTCCAAAGCAGGGTACTGTATACAATTGATATGATTTGCATCAATGCACATTTGTGTAAGTATGCAATTGGTATTTTACACTAATTACACTAATTTATATATGCAAATATTATGTTAATTGCACAGATTCAGATTGAATGGACACTCTTACCATTCAAATTTCATTTAATCAAGGTTTTACCTTGTTCAGATGCCATGGAAAACCAGCAATTCACAATTTATTTATGTAGAGTGCTGCATTATTATCCAAAGTTTTTGCCAATCAGAAGGTCAGAATAACAGAGTTGGAAGGAACCTTGGAGGTCTTCTAATCCAAGTCACTGCTCAAGCAGGAGACCACGGGTGTCAAACTCAAGGCCCGGGGACCAGATCCGGTGAAAAATGGTGAAAAAAGTAAGGTTCTACATTTAGGCAACAAAAACAAAATGCACAAGTACAGTATATGTGGTACCTCCTCAATAGTAGTAACCATGAGAGGGATCTTGGAGTCCTAGTGGACAACCATTTAAATATGAGCTTTATAATGCCTTGGTAAGGCCACACTTGGAATACTGCATTCAGTTTTGGTCGCCACGATGTAAAAAAGATGTGGAGACTCTAGAAAGAGTGCAGAGAAGTGTAACAAAGATGATTAGGGGTCTGGAGGCTAAAACATATGAAGAACGGTTGCAGGAACTGGGTATGTCTAATTTAATGAAAAGAAGGACTAGAGGAGACATGATAGCAGTGTTCCAATATCTCAGGGGTTGCCACAAAAAGAGGGAGTCAAACTATTCTTCAAAGCACCTAAGGGCAGGACAAGAAGCAATGGGTGGAAACTAATCAAGGAGAGAAGCAACTTAGAACTAAGGAGACATTTCCTGACAGTTAGAACAATTAATCAGTGGAACAACTTGTCTCCAGAAGTTGTGAATGCTCCAACACTGGAAATTTTTAAGAAGATGTTGGATAACCATTTGTCTGAAGTGGTGTAGGGTTTTCTGCCTGGGCAGGGGGTTGGACTAGAAGACCTCCAAGGTCTTTTAACTTCTTCCATCTCTGTTATTCTGTATATATCATTTTACCCTGTATCTAGTATTTTGTTCTGCACATTTGTTCTTATGGTATTTTATGCTGTTTTTCATAGGACTTCTTTAAAATGAGTTTTAACTCATACTTTGCCCAGCTAACTCGTATTATTAGACAATAAAAAATATACACTGGACCAATGAAGAATAATTATTCAATTACTACAACTTAATCAACTAAAATAATTATAATGCAAAAATATTTTTTAAAAAAATGAAATAAACCTTGAAATGAAAATAAACAGACAAGACAGTGAGCGGTGATGAGTTTGAGCCAAAGAAAAAGCAACCTGTTCATGTGAAATAATTATTAAGAGATTTAAGAATTAAGTTATTTGGGGCAAAGGAGGAACAACCTGTTGAAGTGTAGATTATTATAGAATAAAATATTATATTGTAGAAACAGATGTTTAAGGTACTAAAACAGTTTAGCCATCAGCTGTTCACAACAACCTTTTTTGATATCAAGGCAACTATGATTCCAGATATTTCTTTTTGTACAAAAACTTTAAAACAGGATTATGAATCTTGCCTTTGGCATGAGCAAGGAATGCATTGTGATACTGCTCTACTGAGGAGAGTCAAATGTCTGTGCCAGGCCTTGGCGATTTTGTAAGGCCTGCTCCATTACTGAAAAGAACACGTTGCCATGGCCACAGGAGTAAAAACCTAAGACCCCATGAGATATTAACATTCCTCACTCTTGGAAAGAAGTAGTTTTGTGGTAGTTTCTTTAAAAGCACTGACCCTCTCTTTTGTGGGGGGTTTTCCCTTTTGTTTTTCTTGTTCCTTTTCCATGACAGAAAAGAACCAGAAATGAATCTTAATCCAGTGTAAACACGGGATGTGAAGACTGTCACATTGTTTCATCCCTGGGGGCTGGAGAGGGGCTTGTTTCAAAGGAAATACCCTCTACACATGCTAACTACTCATAACTACAGCAAACTAAATCACTAAGGATATAGGGATCAACATTTCCAGCTAAAGAAGGCTCTTCAAATGTACATATTAAAAAGGAGTTATACCTAGCAATCCCTTTTCTTATTTATTTATTTATTTATTTATTTATTTATTTATTTATTAAATTTATATACCGCCCTATTCCTAAGGGACTCAGGGCGGTGAACAGCGAACGATAAAAATACATGTAATACAAACGTTAATAATAAAAAACCAATTAAAATATACTAAACATTCTGGTCCTAGATAATTCAAGACATCCCAGTTTAAAATAAAATCAAAAAGCAATATAAAGGGAAAGTTAGGCCAGGCCGGCCTGCTGAAACAGGAATGTTTTGAGGGCACGGCGGAAAGTGCGCAGATCCGGAATCTTCTGTATCTCTGGGGGGAGCTCGTTCCAGATGGTGGGTGCCCCCACAGAAAAGGCTCTCCCCTTGGGGGCCGCCAGTCGACATTGTTTGGCTGACGGCACCCTGAGAAGCCCCTCTCTATGGGAGCGTACTGGGCGGTGAGAGGCTATTGGTGGCAGAAGGCGGTCTCGTAAGTACTCCGGTCCTAAGCCATGGACTGCTCTAAAGGTGGTAACTAAGACCTTGAAGTGCACCCGGAAGACCACAGGGAGCCAGTGCAGCTCGCGCAGGAGGGGAGCCACATGGGAGCGCCATGCTGCTCCCATAACTACCCGCGCGGCCGCATTCTGGACCAGCTGGAGCCTCCGGGTACTCTTCAAGGGGAGCCCCATGTAGAGAGCATTACAGTAGTCCAGGCGTGAAGTGACACCTTTCCTCAAACTTACATAGCAAAACCTGAGAAAATACAGAGTAATGTAAATAGAAAAAAAAACATTTTTTCTATTTTGCAGAAATAAATGTAGAATTTTTTAAAAAAATATTCCAATGTGACAAAAGTTTAAAGATTTAAAAATTAATTTCTAATTAATTTTAACCCTAGTAAGTAAAGTTAATCCTACTAAGATAGAAATCACAAAATAAATACTTTTTTTCTGAAAATGTATAAATAGTCAACTTTTAAAAGTGTTAAACTGGTTTCAAGAGAAATTTCATTTTTGGACCATGTCTAAAGAATGAAATTCCAAGCTTGTGAACATAAATATGGAATAACTTTAATGAATTACTGAACAATTCAAGGAACAGGTAGAGATAATCTGAATAAACTGTAGGTTAATTAGCCTTAAGTATTTAACATCTACTATTCTGGGAATATTTTCTCACAATATGTTCACAGTATGTTTCAAAAATGGATAAAAATCTTCTTTTTTAATATTACTGGTAAAAAAAACTCCAACAAACCAACATGGCTTTGGAAGAAGGTAATATTGAGAGAAGTGATTAATGGTACACCTCTCGTCTGGACTATTGTAACGCTCTCTACATGGGGCTCCCCTTGAGGTGCACCCGGAGGCTCCAACTGGCGCAGAGTGCGGCCGCGCGGGTGGTTATGGGAGCAGCGTGGAGCTCCCATGTAACACCTCTCCTGCGCGAGCTGCACTGGCTCCCGGTGGTCTTCCGGGTGCGCTTCAAGGTTCTGGTTACCACCTTTAAAGCGCTCCATGGCTTAGGACCTGGTTACTTACGAGACCGCCTACTACCATCAATAGCCTCCCACCGACCAGTACGCTCCCACAGAGAGGGGCTCCTCCAGGTGCCGTCGGCCAAACAATGTCGGCTGTCGGCCCCTAGGGGGAGAGCCTTCTCTGTGGGGGCACCGACGATCTGGAATGAGCTCCCCCCAGAGATACGGAGGATTCCGGATCTGCGCACCTTCCGCCGCGAGCTGAAGACTCTTTTATTTCATCAAGCTGGCTTCGCCTAAATCTTCTCCCTTTTAAGTGTAAATTTTAAATTTTTACTGTATTTTAAAATATGGGTATTTTAAATTATGGGTATCAATTCAGCCAAATTCATTTAATTCATTTTATTCGATTTTAAATTTTGTATATGTATGTGTTTTATTTCATGGCTGTTCACCGCCCTGAGTCCTTCGGGAGTAGGGCGGTATAGAAATTCAATAAAATAAATAAATAAATAAATAAATAAATAAATAAATAAATAAATAAATAAATAAATAATGCGAAGCTATTTGTTGCTATGGGGTTTTATAACACTCAAGAATGCTAGTTAGTAATGATAATCATACTAAGCCAAAAGACCCCACAAACAGTTATGTCTTAATATTACGAGTACACTATATGTAATTAAAATCAAATTTTGAAAGCATCTGTCCATTCTCCTTAAAATTTCTGGGTTTCAAACCAACAGAAAAGTTCCTGAGATAGTTACCTCTATTTCCACAATGGGGTATTGAATGTGCTGAATGTGGGCACATTTTGGGAATGTAGTGTGACCAGTATGTTGTGGATGTATTGTTTCCTTGAGGTTTTGTATCACTTTTTTTTAACCCTATTACTGAATGCATAATGTAAAGCACTCACATGTCTTCTTATTGCAGCAGACAAAAAGTAAAAAATGAAATCAAATGAACGATATGCTAGGTGAAATGCAATTAACCCTGCTGGCTTATGGACACATATATATTACAAGTAGGAAAACAAGTTTTTTTTTTTCCACATAAGAATGGGGGAGGTGTTTCAAATTATTACAGATGGCTGAAAAGCAGTGGATGCCTGGGATGAGTTATTTGCATGCTACATGTTAACCTTTTCTGTTTTGCCAAAAGAGTTCTCTCTTTTCTTCCATTTCCTGTCCATTCTCTTTCCCTTGCCTCATCTCCATCAAATTTTATTCCCACTTTTGTGTCACCTTCTCTCCCTTAAACAGCTACCTATTACCTTTATCCCAGCCTAGCCCTTTTGTTTTCTTTTGCCTTGTTGTTATCGTTGTTTTGGATCTGATGGATGGAAGGATGAAAGAGTGTGTGTGTGTGTTTGAGCACACACTTTTGATTGTTCCTACCTATCAGAGTAGGCTGCAAAAAAAAATGGTTGGAATATTCATATGAAAGATTCATACATTTTATAAATGGAGTATTTTACAGTATTTTTACAGGCAATTTATTTTATTCAGTAGGTATTAAATTCAGTCAATATTTTTTCCTGCTATGTGATTTTCTGGAGTATGGGTCCAGCAGTGCATCTATGAACATAATTATTAGAAAAGAAAATACTCCAGGATTGGGTTAAAGACTTGGATAGTCATGGTAACATATTGGGAAAATGGAAACACACAAGATGTTTGTCTGTATTTAGAAATAATTTTCTTCTATTTTTCATTTATTCATTTCATCATCTCAAAGTCACATTTTTCTTTCTCATAATTAGAATATATACAAACTGTAAAGATATATACATACCGTGTTTCCCCCAAAATAAGATCCTGTCTTATATTTTTTTTAACCCTGAAATAAGCGCTTGGCCTTATTGCCATGCGCTCAAAAGCCCAATTGGGCTTATTATCAGGGAATGTCTTATTTTGGGAGAAACAGGGTAGTTATACAAAGATGTGTGTGTGACAGAGAAAGAGATGATTAGCATATCCCTAGCACATTTTCCAGCCTTTTAATTGCACCTTCCAAATAATCTTAATAGAAAAAGGCAATCCTGATTGTATTAGACATTGCATAAAGTGTTTATAAGCTTACAAAAATTAAAGTGGAAACAAATTAAAATGTCTTAATAACATTTTCTAAATGCAATATATTTTTCTCCTGCTTTTTTTTTTTAGCCATCTCACCCAAAAAGTATAACAACTTTAAAACACCAGCTTTAAAACTTAATACAAACCATTCACAGTTCACACCCCAACAAACTGCTCTCCATTCTAGAGTGGTTACACTTGGCAATTCAACTTGAATCCGTTACTTTCCAGCCATTTCCAACAACACTGGAGCTATTTGTTTTGGCTGGGATCACAAATTTAACATTATTCATACTTTTCAGTCTAGCATACAACCGGACTGGCTTCTTCCCAGCCTAAAACAAACACTTTTTCTTTACTGGCCTTTTCAACCAAGTTATACTGTATCTTGTACAAGAATAGATATATATTTCTGAAATGCATTTTAAAAATTGACAAAAAAACAAAAAAACAGGGATATATTTCCAGAAATTTAAGATACAAGGCAAGGCAGGGTGATTTATAGTGGATTTTTAAATGGATCCAACTGATACTCATTGATTTCCAAATTTTATTTGGCAATATCCCCATTCAATTATATTTAATAAAATTTATTAGTTTTGCAGTTGTGGCTTAATATTAGATCAAACTTCAAGAAGGTATTTCTCTTTTACAGTAAGAATGGAGCATCTAAGTCTAACGCATGTGCAAATAACACTGGATGATGTTCAAAGGAGCTGGGTTAGACCTTTAGTAGGATGTACGTAACTGCATTCTCCAAAGAGGAAATCAGGACAAGTCCAAAAAAAATCAAGAAGGCAGTTAGGGCATCACAAAGCTCCACCTTTCTGTACTTGTCCAAGACAATGTGCAAGCAAAATTGAGCTTCAATCACATTGCCACAACAGCCTCTCCACCTGGATCCCACTAGATTGCTTTAATTGGCATGATTCATAATTGGCATTAGCATTTAGACTTATATACTGCTTCACAGTTCTTTACAGCCCTCTCTAAGTGGTTTACAGCATATTGCCCCCAACAATTTGGCTCCTCATAATATGCTTCTTCTGCAATATCTAATGGGATGGGTAGAAATGATCAGGGAGGGGCAGTCCTGCAGATAACTCACTCCTATGTTATAAAGTACCAACATCACTAGCAACTTGAACTGCACTTAGAAACATACCAATTCAGCCTATGGAGCAAAAGTGTAATGTGCACACTTTAAAGGGCACTCATGTGCCACCATTTTCTGAATCAGCTGCAGCTTCTGGATGCTCTTCAAGGACAATTTCATGTAAAGCACATTCCAGTAATCCACTCAAGAAACGGCTAAACCATCAATAACTGTAAAAAGAATTTTCCGCTCCAAGTAAGGACACAACTGGAACACAACACAAAGTTACACAAAAGCACCCCTAGGCACACAGCCATCTAATCCTCTAACGGGAACTGCAGATTCAGGAGGACCCTCAAATAGTCCTACTTAATAAGTCCTAGTTTGTTCAGCAACCATTATATTAGGGGAGACCAAAGAAAAAGCGAACAGGTTAACTTCTTAGCCCATAAATTCAATTATATTTTTACTAAATGTCTATACAAATATATCATAAATATCTCCTGATTTCTCATGCTGAGGAAAATGTTACACCTGCAGTTTTAAAGTTCCTACCTCCACCTGGATGAGTTGAGTAATTTTCTCCCAGTACTACGCGAATGTCCGCTTCTTCCAACAAAACCTTCCATTTTTTAATTATACTTATAGAATTATCCTGGTAAGAAAAAGCACCAAAAGGTTAATATTTAACTTTTAAAAATTAAACGTTAACTGGAACTGTTATTCAAATTATAGTAGTACAGTAAAAGTAAAAATAGATTATTATGAATGTACATACCGTGCTAGCATCATTAAAAACAGACAGTTCAATAGAACCTTGGAAATCTTGATCCAGAACAGACTTCAGACATTCATCCAGCCAAGATTCGGCATTATAGACTGGCAGAATTACAGACTATCATGAATAAAGATAAATAAACCAATATGCTGCATTATCATTCTTCAAGTCTGATTTAAACAAATACAACATTTTTATTATGTATGCTATAGAGCAATGGTTTCTGAACAGAAAAAAGTATTACCCTTTCCTCACAAATGATTCCTTTTTCCTTGTTTAAAACTTGTGCAAACACAATTAATATCTCCCAGTGTTGATGTCTCTCACTTGTTCTGGTCCCTTCTTTCTTTCCAATGCTATATTGGTTCTTCACTATTTCCAGTTATTATCAGAACTGATTTGGGGACATGCTTGCTCATCTGAGATCAACAAAGAGCAGCTCTTTCTGAATATAACCCCATGTAAAGATGCAGATTTCAAACGAACTACTATATTCATATATGCACTGTATATAATTACTAAATTTATATCCCACATTTCATTCAACTGTTGAAGACAGTGATTCTTTTTCAAAAGTTACTTAACTTTTGTTTTAATATCCCCAACCTGCATCAAACAAAATCAGAAATTGTTCTGTAAAAGGTATTAATAATATAAGTCATTAACCAATTACAACTGCATCAGCAACTATTCTTTTTCAGAGTCAAATTTGAGCTACATTATATTTATTCCAGTATTCTTAGATAAAAGTACTAACAAATTTTAGGAAAATACAATATGAATATGCATATCTTAAGAGATAACAATCTGTTTCATAAGAAAAACAACAGATAGTATAAGGAGTCAATTAATTTGCATCCCGATCTGCCATGGTGTGCACACTTTCCCCCTCTAGCAAGTGTGATGAACTCTTTTGTTGCATTGAACTTGAATCTCTCAGAACAGGAGATTATTCTTATAATTGCCCTGGGTTTTAGAGGCACTCGGCATCCACAATTTAGCATTACACAGACAAGCTGCATCATCCTTATAGTCTGAACTGGAAGGGGGTCACAGGGATGGCCTTTGACCTCATGCTGTGCTTTCAAGATGTTTCAAGGACCTTTAAAACTAAGCGCATCAAAGGCGAAGGCTCTACCCTGCCAACATGTCAAAATAACCACAGGGTCACAGCAGGCAAGCATTTTGGCAGGTTACCAAGGCTCTCAGGAAATTTAGTGAATATTAAGAGCAACCTCCCTAAACTGGTATCCTCCAGATCCCTTTTACTACAGCTCTCACCACCAACAGTAAGCTTAGACAACTTAAGGGTTTGGATTTGCAAGCCTACACATATTAAACACAACCAAATGAACATTTTTAGACAAATGTATTATTTTAAAACAATATTTAATACATGATTATTTTCAAGGATTGGTTCATAGACATCTTCTATATTCTACAAATGGTTCCCACACAATTGGTTCTTTTGCTTAAGGTGGTACTACACCTTAAGCAAAAAATGAATCATTTGTGTCATATCTCAAATGGAAAAAAGTCTATCTTTAGTTTAACTCAGCTCCTGTTATACTATGGACATATCCATACTATTTTCTTGGCAAAATAGTATGGATATAGTTTCAGAACACTCCTTCCTTCCTGTCGCACCTGGTTTATTTTTTCTAGTTCAACCCAGACCATTTAGATGCTTCCACTTTCAGTGGAAATAAAGTGAAAAGTCTTAATAAGTAGAAAACTGAAATTACTTTTAAAAACTGATTAGGAACTAATTATACCTAATATAAGAAAGGCAGTTTTGTGTACTGGTTAAGGCATCAGGCTAGAAACCAGAAATCCATGAGTTGTAGTACCACCTTAGGCACAAAGCCAGTTTGGTGATCTTGAGCTAGTCACTTTCTCTCAGTCTTAGAAAGAGTCAACAGCAAACCACTTCTGAAAAAGCTTGCCATAAAAACCATAGGGAGTCTCTGAAAATTGGACATGACTGAACTGTAGAAAATAAAATTATATAAATATGCATGGGATAAAACTGCAGCTGCTATATTATGCAATATTGTAAAAGAATAAGAGCAAATATTAAGCACACTGTTCTCTATTTTAAAATATACAGTTCTGGGGTGTTTTGATCCTTAAAGTACACAAAATTTATCCCATTGATGTCAGTGTATTGCAAATACACATTTGTAACCAATATTTAGATCTTTTCTTCTACACATCTTAATACGAAAGCATACTTAAAAGAAATGATTAATAGATGAGTTCGACCACTTTACACCCTTCCTGATTACTGATATCAGTAACAAGGTCCTTCAGTTAAGTATGTACCTTTTTCATGATCAATGATAGTTCATGATCATACATATATCTGAAATCTTGGATTTGGTATTTCTGCACAAAACCAGCCAAGCCACAGTGAATTTGGAAGAAATTTGGAACATACCACTTGAATCCTACACTTTCCTCCTGCTTTCCTGTTGAAAGGAGCAACAGACTGCAATTCAGTGTCACCAAAGAAAGGAGATGATGGACTGTGTGAATGGTCTTGCTTGACAAGTCCAGGATCATTTGCACAGACACCGTCTGGTAAAAGGGGAGGCGATTTACCAGCTTCCTGACAGACTGTTTCAGAGACATCCATTTGCGATTATAAATTCAGGGGAAAAAATTAAACCAGGGCAGAACAGGTATAAAAGAAGACATGCAAACAATAGAATGTGACCTCTCACCAGCAAGGATTATCATTTCACTGGTGATTCCCCCTCCCCCCTTATAACTCCTGCTATAACTTCGGTTTATATAGCTACATGATAATATCCTGATGAAAAAAAAAAAAAGCCCCTAGAAAACTCAAGTGAAGTTCGGTGGAGAGGATGAAGGAAATGCAGTTGCCAACAGAGAAATTTAAGTCATTAGGGTTTCACCAATAGAAGAAAGGGGGCACAGAAAGAGGAAGAGGCCACTCAGCAGGAAACAGGGGGCGGATAGAAAAAAAAAGGTCGGCGACTGGAGTGGTTTCGGCTGGTCTTTCCTTCCTGTACACACGCTCTCCGGTCCGTCCCCCACCCCACACCTCCTCTTTTGCGGGCGCCAGAACTGAGCAGGCACGCGCCCATCCACCCGGTTTCGCAGAAGAGTAGAGAGAGAAAGGCTAGAGCGGCAGCGGGGAGGAGCCAAAGGCGGCCGTGTTGTTCCGTCGCCGCTCCGAAAGCGGCAAGCGCGGTTTCAGAGTCGGGGGAGGTGGAGCGCGGAAATGTAACACGAGTTAGGCGTATGTGACAAGTTGCGGGGAGGGAATTGTTAGCCAGCGAAGCTAGCGTGCTTCTTGGATGCGCCCCCTTTGAGCTCTCTCGCTACTGCATTACTGGTTTCCCGTAAGAATCGTTCCAACAGAAAAGTAACCCTTTGCTTTGCACACGTTTAGATGGAAGCGTCGAGCGCTGCGCTTTCACCCTGATGCACTTTTACTGAGAACATATACATGTTCTCACATAACATTTCCCAGTTGTTAAATCGCGCAAGGCGCTATTATACCAACCCAAACTCCAATATGTAGCCCGGTGAGTGACCTTTTTTAGCCAGATCTAATTCTAATTCTCAGGGAGCTTACGCCATACTGAAATACTGTATATATCAAGGTTTTTGACCATGATACAATACATCAAACAATTTTTTCATTCTTGTCCAAACTCGATTGCAGAAAATATGACTTCAGTAACAGAGTGGTTAATGCCTGGAATGCACTACCAGACTCTGGTCTCATCCCAAAACCCCCAAAACGTTAACCTAAAACTGTCTACTGTTGACCTCACCCCATTTCTCGGAGGTCTGTAAGGGGCGTGCATAAGAGCACCAGCGTGCCTACCGTCTCTGTCCTAATGTTCCCTTTAATTGTATTCATTTTATGTATTCAATTCATGTTTATACTTACATATATTGTCTAATATGTACTCTACAAAATAAAATAAATATAAATAAATAAATCCTTTAAAAACTTCCCTTCCTCTCTCCCAACTGATCCGCGTTCTTCTTACTCTTTGGAACCACCATCCGCCAATATGTTTTTCTTCTAACGAGTCCATCAATTAAAACCCTTTTATCCAACCATGTGTCCTCCAGATGTATTGGATTTTATAAATATTTGAAGCGGTTTTTGTTGTCAGTCTCAAAGCTTACATATGTGTCTATAAATGTTGATGTGGGTAAGCCCCATTTCTTGTTTGCATTAATTGTTGCGAATGATTACTTTTACCGTTTGTTGTCTTTTCCTAGCTATTTATGTTACTTATAATTTCATTACATTGTCTTATTTTGTTAGTAATGATTGTTAGAGTTATGTACTTGACATGGGCGACCAAACTAATAACTAAAATATTGTTTTAATCAATCCATGTTGAAATTTAGGTGTTTTTTATTAATGAATGGAGTAAGATTGTTTTAAAACTGATTCATATACATATGGTGTTAGGGGCTGGGGGGTTATATTGGATGCCTTATATAACTTTATCTGCCTAACTGATTTCCCATTTTTTGGTTGAATTATCTGCTCTTATGTGTGTGGCAACATGCAAGGAAGTTTTGACACTATCAGAAACAAATCCTGTCATTTCTTGTTATGACATTTTGCTTTTAGTATTGCCTACTATATGATCTTTCTGAAGTTTTAGATATTAGTCATAACACATGTTATCTTCAGGAGAAAAGCTTGTAGTAAATCTTCTTCAGAGTCACTTTTTCCCCTTCCTCTCTGAAGTTGCCTAATTCATGTGTAATGACTGTTCACTGTAAAAATGTGAACAACCGTAAACCAGTTATATGAATATGCAGTAACTTTAAAATGATTTCTCTGAAACCAGTCCCCACCCAAGATCATGCTCCATAATAACTTGCTTATGAAAGTACACAGTTGTGCTTTCCTTTATATAAAATAAAATGTTGGAATTGACTAACACAAGATGTACTGGCTTCCAGCTTAGTTGACTTGAAAAAAAGAGATTGGATCAATTCATGGAAATCATGAGGGTAGAGACCACTAGCCATGACAACAATGTGACTATCTCTAAAGTCTATCTTCTGGGAGAATATTGAACGTCTTTGTGCAGTTGGTTGGCCATTGTGAGAATAAACTGGAGAACAGACTAGATGGGCCAATTCTCCCATCTAGAGATACCAATTCCGCAGGGATCTGCTTGTATTTTTTTTTACATGTAACTCTTCTATATACATATATGTTTATATTTGGAAGAATTTCAATTTGAAGTTTGTTAGGTTTCAGATGTGTACATGCATAATGATCTTCATTTGATTATACTTATTTCAGGAGAAAGGATCCCCACTTATCTGTACATTATTTCTAAAGTAGATCCTAGAGTTAACTCCTACATTAAGGGAAAAGAATGCACACATTTACCACTCCATATATTATTATTTTTCCTTTACTTTTTCTTGGATTTTTTTTTTCAAATTGTATTTTAAATGTTACAGATTGAGCATTTTTTCAGATTGAGTAAACCAGCAGAGATTACATGGAAGACGGGTCTATTAACTGAATAAAGGGATACAAGAAAAAATAAATGTTCCTTTTGGTTATGCTATATCTCTGGAATTTTAAATGTGCTAAACATTTTTTCAGGTTTTCAAATTTGTTCTTTTGTTCCAGTATTTATCTTATTCACCACATAAGACTTATCAACAAATTCTAATGAATTTGAGTGCTTCTATCAAGAAAATGTTACTCAAAAGTATCACAGAAGTAATATGCAGAAGTTATTGCTTCTGAAGCAGGGTTGTCAAACTCCCGGCCCACGGGCTGGATGTATCACACAGTGGCCATGCCCACGCCCAGTTTAGTGAAGAGGGAAACAGTCCCGATACATCACGTGATGCTGCCATGACGACGTGAGTTTGACACCCTTGTTCTGAAGAATTGAATTATTTAAACGGATGCTGGACAACTGCTGGTACAGTAATAATGAACAGAATGCACTGAAGGCAACGGCTAAGGTGCATGATTGAACTAACATTTCAGTTATGTAATGAAAAAAATAAAATAAAGCTATAGTAGTGTTGGAAGAAATATCCATCTGGTTCAATTCCAAGCCGAGAGAAAGGCACTGGAGACAAAATAGAGGCTGGAGGCTGATTGGAAAGAGGGCCCATTTATTGATGAAGCAGAAGCACAAGGGTGGTTCTGGGCAGCTGACCATACGGAGTTGAGAGTGAGGGGTTTTCATACCTTCTCTTGGGCTTTGAACTTGAGCTTCTTGTTCCTGTACAAGAACATGTGTTCCATGTTCTATTGGCTGTTGTAGGGGTCATAGCTGGCTCTGTAGGTTGTCTGAGCTAAGTTTGGTTGAAGTTTGGAAGGTGATGCAATGTCCTTAGGAGATGGTGCAATGCAGTGAGCTCTGCTATATGGTAGTGTTCAGACCTTGCTGCAGGGAGTAATGGATTACCAAATCTGCATTTATAAAGCTGGCCAGCTCAGTATCTGCTTGTGGGGGCAGGGAACTGGGGCTCTGAGTTTCTGTCTTCCTTAAGATTTTTATTTCTCTTTTAGGGGAAATATTTTATCCTACCTTTTTTAATATTTTTTCAAAATATTTCATTCTTCTAGGAGGGGGATAGCTTCCCACAAGAGAATAAATGAGAACCTTATTTTCTCTTTATGGGCATGTGGCTTCTTTGATCTTTACATCATATAAAGTTAAACATTTATTAAACACTAGAAAGAACTTGTAATTTTCATAGATGCCTTCTAAATATTGGTATTATAAGATCTTAGTAAGACTGTTCATAGATTCTGTCTCTAGTTGAGAAAAAATCATTGACTTCAATTGGCCAGCCATATATAAATGAATTCAGTATTTACAGTGTTAGAATTTTGCTTTCCACAGTATATTTGAGAGGTTAAACATTCTGTTGTATAAGTACAGGAAACATCTGACAACTTAAAATGGGAAAGTGCTTATAGAAATAAATCATAATCTGACAAAGGAATGTACACACAACTGGAAAAAATCCATACCAGACATCATGCAAGATAAATTGCACATGCAGTGTTATATGCTATTCCAGAAGAAAAGAAGATATGTTATAAAGCGAGTTCAAAGAATAAGACCCACAAATAGATATTCTCACTGGGCTTGACATTAATGTATGCCACAAGGACTGGAAAGTCAGTCAGTCATATTGGCTCTAACTCTGTCTAAGAGGAAATAAATTGGCTGGCTTGTTTAAAATATAACTGATTTCTACCCTGGTAATAAATAAAAGGCATGTTCGTTCTTATGCATATTCCCTTTCACTGAATTATGTTCTTAATTTTATCTCTTCGTATGGTTAAGATAGCCTATGTTCTAAAAAAATCAAAGGTCAGTATTTTTGGCTTCTGTGTAGAAATCAACTTCAGCCAAAATCACTTTCTGTGCAATAAAATAATGCCATTTTCAATTTCAGGACATCAGATTCCAGATGTAATAAGTAGGGTGTTCAATATCATCAAATAAATCTAAATAATTTTGATTATTTTTAAATGTACTAATATTATCTAAGGAACATAGGTGTTATGCTAGATAACACCTAGTATGGCTCAATGCATCAATCAAATAGATCAAGAAGTCAACAGCACATTCAGACTCATCTTTTTGAGCATTTTTTTAAAAAAATTGATTTATATGCCGCCCTTCTCCGGAGACTCAGGGCGGCTTACAATGCGTTAAGCAATAGCCTTCATACTTTTGTATATTTATACAAAGTCAGCTTATTGTCCCCACAAACTGGGTCCTCAATTTACCCACCTTAGAAAGGATGGAAGGCTGAGTCGACCTTGAGCCTGGGGAGAATTGAACTCGCAGTAATTGTAGGCAGCTGGATGTTAAATGCTGCCTTAGGAGGCATTAGCCTCCTACGCCACTCAGGCTCCACTCAGGGCATTTGATATTGAGACATACATTTTATTTATATATTACCTTTGACTCTACTTATTACCCAAAAATCAGATATTAAAACTATCATCTAATCATAATTCTACTATAATTTAAGCAACATTATTCTTCCAACTTCAAACAAGTCCGGAGAAAAGTGCCATTTTCAATTTCAGGCAATCAGATTCCAGATGTAATAAGTAGGGTGTTCAATACCAAATAAGTGGTAAATGAGAGAAGGCTTTGAAACTTAAAGTAGCTCTTCTAATCTATGGAAAATCTGATGCTGATTCAACAATCAA